GCACAAAGAAGATGGCGTTGACTTTTGATCCTGCAGTTTTGAAGCATGCTATTTATTTGCATTCAAGTGGCAAAAGGGTCACAAACATGCAAGAAAGATGACTGAAGTTTCACTGTCCCCTTAAAAGGGGCCATGCCCCATCCACCCCCCTCCAACCCCTGGAAAATGATGGCTGTAACTAGTCCCTCTGCCTCTCTCTACTGTCTCTGAGCTTGCAGTGACAGACACCTGGACAGTTCTGTCCTAATTAGCCCACTGTGTCCTGTTGAAAGGAATGGAGACTTTCGTTTGCTCAATGCAGCGATGATCTCGTATTCCCAGGACCAGGCCAGGAGAAGGGGGGAGTCTAAATGCAGATGGCCGGGTTCTTCACTCAGAAAGTCCAATTCAATATTCAGTATGGAACCCATTCTTAGCAAATGCCCCCACTTCCAAGTGGTTCCCATGTGTTTTGTTCCCCTAGACTACACGTTAAGAGGCAGCAGCATAGTATCTCCTACGAGCCAGAAACCTAGGAGAACCTTTGGCTAACCTGCTCCCCAGTCAGCCATCCATGAGTGACTGTCCTGTGTATGTACATAAGCCTTATAACATCAAAGTCATCTCTAGTTTTGCATCTGGAGAAACTGAAGCTTAGAGGTGGCAGGTAACTCCCTCTTGGTGGCATGATAAGGAGGCATGGTCTTTACTAGGGTCTGTACGATTCCTAACATCATCACCTCATCTCTGAAAAATCTAGGTGCCTCCGCTCCCTTATCCATCAGTGGATACACTAGTAATGGCGCTAATCTCAGAGGGCTCAACAGTACCATCTTGGGTTTCACCATGTGAAATTGCTGACGTTCAACACCTACAAAAGTGGCCCTTTCATTTGGGTTGACATCATCATTGTGATGTGCTTGTTACTGTACCCGGAACAAAGGCAGGGCCTGGTAGGTGTCATGCGTTATGAGAAGCTGAGGTGGGTAGAAATGCATCCCTTGAATGAAATCAGGGAGTTCTAGCTCCTGGGAGCTGTGTGTGTGACCATTGAGGGTCTTTGCAGATGTAACCAGGTTTGAGTGAGGTCATTCTGGACCAGGGCAGGTCCTAAACCCAGGACTAAAGTCCTCAGAAGGAGAGTGAGTTCCTCACACAAATACAGGCAAGGCAGGTGCCGCACAAAGACAAATGCAGACTTGGAGTGATACAGCCTCAAATCAAGAATGCCAAGCACTGTTGGCCCCTCCCTGAGATGGAAGAAGTGAGGAAGGACCCTCCCCTGGAGTCCTCTGGAGTCTTCAGGGGAAGCATGGCCCTGTGACACCTCGGCCTCAGACTTTTGTCCTCCAGAACTATGAGGTAATTAATAATTCCTGTTGTTTTATGCCACCCAGTTCATGGTGATTTGTCAAGGACACCCTGGGAAATTCACGTGGAAGTTTTCTGTCTCCAATCTGCAATGCTGCCGTCCTCATTACCAGATGATATTCCCTCGTAGATGGTGTCCAGTTGCAGGTCCCAGGGCAGTGACCTCTGCTGGGTGAGCCTGGATCTCTCTGTTCCAACCAAGTCCTCTGCTGGACACACACAATGCGGACCGGTTTGGTTTCCTTCCAGACTTTTAAAAGACCCTTTTATGGTACACACTTGTGCCTTTTGATGCGTTCCCAAGCTCCCTCTGCCTTGTGTAATGTAGACTTCTCCCCAGGGAAATAGTTCAAGAGACAGAAAGACGGAAAAATGGTGGCCACAGAAGGCTGGGTAAACATCAGCCCCTTTCATAACCTTCCTTTCTTGGATGACAACTCTGTGGTGGGGCCCCCAAATCCCAAGGAGGCCTGCTTCAAACACTGATTTGGATCCGTCGGAAGGGTCAAGGGCCTGCTATATAAAAAGTCCCTCAAAGCCTGCTGTTCAGTTAGGGCTTGAAGGCTGACATTAAAAATTCCAAAGTGGAGTCTGTGGTCCATCTCAAATTTATATTTCAATCAGTACCAGGTCTCCAATGGCCTTTGTGTCCATTTTTGCACAGAGAGACACCGCACCATGGCTCCCCTCCTCCCCTCCCCCTCATGGAAAATGGAAATGAACAGTCAGGAGGCTGCAGTTCCCTCGGGTCACAGATTGTATTTTCCAAATAAAAAGGCAGAGACCGTCACCGTGGTTGACGATGATACTAAATGTTTAGAATCTGGACTCTCCAAGACAACCTGTTTACAGCCATGTGCTCTGGACGTCTTCTCTGAGCTTAAATCCCATTTCCTCATCTGGTCGTGGGTTGGGGTAAGCCACTCCACCCACTCCATGTCAGTTTACCCATCTTCTGAAAACAGTAAAGTCACTGCTGTCTGGGGGCATTCAATGAATAATGAACAAGGGAGGGTTTAGGAGAGTGATTGTCTTGTCAGTTCTCAATCAATAATAACTACTATTTTTTTTTTAATCTGTAGAGAGGACAGTCTTTATTTTGTTCATTCTGTATGTCAGACATGATAAACATATATGTCAGGGTTACTCCCTGTGCAGTAGGCGTTATTTTGTTGTTCAGAGAGTTTAAACAACACACTCAAAGTCACACAGCTACTAATCTCCTGGACTTGAAGTTAAGCCTGAGTGGATCTCCAAGTCCTTATCCTTTCCTCTATACCAAGTGGAGAGTTTCGACCATTTTGACTCAAAATGAAGTTCTTCCCATAAGAAGATGGCCAGTGGCCTTGACCCTTTGCCCTGAGCCTTGACTTGGTGTGGAGGGGGTGCTGATGGCACAAACGTAGTTCCCAGCAGCCTAAGTTCAAACCCCCACACTTCACTTCCCTGTTTTTCAGTGACAATGGGCCTTGTGAATCCCGTGAGCCACTGGCAGAGCCATACCCTTACAGTCTTTCCTCAAAAGGGAGGGGGGAATTAAGGCTGCTCATCACTGATCTTAAAATAATAAGATGGCCCTGGGTTACTTGCTTGGCCAGTGTAATTGCAAGGGTCCTTCACTGTGGAAGAGGAAAGTGCAAGAGTCAGAGCGACAATGTGAGATGACCTCCACCTGATGATGCCGGCTTTGAATATGGAGGAAGGAGCCCCAACCCAAGGAATGTGAGAGGACTCCAGAAGCAGGAAATGGCATTAAAGAGACGCTCCTTGTCTTGGACCATCACAGGCTGCTGAAACAGAATACCTGAGACTAGGTAATTTATACCAATATAGAGATTATTTCACAGCACTGGAAGCTGGAGGTTCAATGTGGATGTGCCCCATCTGGTGAGGGCTTCCTTTTGCATCATCCCATGGTAGAAGACAGAAAGGCAAGAAAGAGAGAACAATAGGAGACTGAAGTCACATTCACAACTAGGTCACCCCTGTGATAATATTAGTCCATTCATGAGATCAGAGTCCCCGTGACCTGGTCCCCTCTTCCTAGGCCCCATCTCTCCACACTGTGGCATTAGGGGTTGAGTTTCCAACACAGGGCCTGTGGGGAACAGGTTCATACTGTAGCACTCCCCCAGAGTCTCTCCTAGAAATATGGCCCTGATGATGTGTTGATTTTAGCCCCAGTGAGTCCCAATATGAGCTTCTGACTTCTAGATAAATCTGTGTCATTCAGAGTCCAGGTTTGTGGTCATTGGTTACAGCAGCAATAGGGTTTTAACACTCCAGTAAAGTGGAGGATGGGTTCCCATAACTGCAATAACTAGGCTGGCCTCTAGTTGAAATACCCGTTCTTCCATCTGAGGTCCAACCAGGCCTGACCCAGCCCAGCTTCCACCATCAGATGGTGTTTAATGCCCCCATGAGCCCTGGCTCTCTCTTCTCCCAGCACTGTCTGAGCCCATGACTTTCTGATGCCGCGACCTCTGTAGAAGACAACGGGTTGCACTGCGCCCCAGCTGGGGTGAGAGCGAGAGGAAGTTCCCAAGGGGTTGGGGGAAGAGAGTGGGGAGCAGACAGCAGCTCTGGATTATCCAAGGGGTCCAACTAAGGGGACCTTAAGGCCCCTGCCAAACACCACCACAAAAGAAAGTTTCCACCTTTGGTGAATCTTCACAACATCATACTATCAGTAACTCCAGAAGGAGATGATATTTTGATTTGGGGCGTACTTCTTTTTTTGTAATTTATAATTCAGAGTGCATGAAATATAGGAGAAGAGGGAGGAACAAAATAATCTCACCCAAGTTTAGGGCCCGATCAGACTTTGGCAGGGGTCAGTCAACAAACAGCTGATGGTCAGGAGCTGGCAGATTTCATGCAGAGGGCAAAGGAACTGGGTCAAAGGTCAGGGCGGCAGCAGAGACACCAGACATGGTGAGAAAGCATTTGGGGCTCCTTCCTTATGGGAGTGTGGGTGTCAGGAGGGGTTATAGCAGGGTTGAAAGGAGCGTGGTTGGGAGGGAGGGTGTAAGGGGTTTAACTCAGCACTGGGTCATGGTGTGTTTTGGGGTCTTCCCTGGAGGCTGAAACGCTTCCCCTGTACCCTAACCCTCAGGAAGTTCCAGATAGGCTGGGCCATGTGGCCACAAATGAAAGTCACCCCACTTTGGGCACCAGCTTGGAGCAGCACCGCGGTCCAGCTCTTAGCTGTCGGTGTGCAGAACTGAGAGCTTCCCCGCCCCCTCCCTGGGTGCACTTGGCAGTGGAGACACTCGCTCCCAAGGGGCCCAGGGAGCCGGTTGCCAGGCCTGGGCCGCTGCCGTCCCATCTGTTACTCTTGGGCCGGGACTCAAGGGGGCTTAGGTTTCTGCACTTTTCATGTGGTGGCTTTCAAACTCAGAATCCACTTGAAGTGGTTTAGGTTTTTCTCCTCCCCGCCCGGTGCTTGCTGTAGAGAAACACCTTCAAACACAGACTGTGCCGCTCCACACCTCTGTCCCTGAGTGCGCTCCGAGGAGCCAGACGGCCACATCAAGCTGACTCTCATCAGAGGTGCCTGCCAGCTGGGCCCCCACCTGCCCCTCACTCGCCCAGGTTTTCTTTACCCCCTACCCGTTCCTCTCCCCACCACAGGTCCCCCGCGCCTGTCTCTGGGAGAACAAGACCCCCTTGTTTGTCTGAAAGGCCCTATTTGGAGAATGGAGAGGCACCGTGGGGGAGAAAAGCCCTCCAGATCCCATTTCCCATAGCACCCCTTCTTTGCTCTTGGAGTCCACGCAGGACAGAGGCAGTGGACCCTTCATCTTCATCCTAAGCTCCAGGTGGCGGCTTCTTGGACACCTCCCTGGTGCTGCTGATGCCTTCCTCTTCCTGCATCTCCCACCAGCAGCTCCTCATCCCCCCATTTAAAGCATATTTGAAAGAAAACTTCTAGTCCCTTTGGCGAAGGAGGGAAGGAAGCTAGAAGGATGTCTGGAGCCACATCTCACACGATGGCGCCATGTGGAGCCACTTGCCCCCTTAGCCACAGAGGTGCATATTGATAGTTCTTCATCAACGACCGATCTTCATCAGTATCAACAGACCTGGGTGTGCGAGAGAAAAGAAGCAACTGAGGGCTCATGGATACTATTTTAATGCTTTAATAACTCTCAGGCCGTGGCCATCTGCTTAGGGGAACAAGACCACGGAGGGGAAGAAACTCTGGGGAGGGGGAGATTCAATCTCTTTACTGTGCAGCTAAGGGAATTCCATCCTGGAAGTTTCCGATGACTTCCCCCCGAGGTTACTGGGCTCTCATTCTGCTGCACTAAACGGTCTTATTTATTTTATGAGATTTAGAGGCATTTACGTATCTTAGGAGACTTGAAAATCTTACTGAACAGGAGCCATGGCGACTACGGACCTTCTGAAGTCTCTCTTCCCCTTTGTGTAAGTGGAGAAGCAGGGATCCAGGCCCTGACTTGGTTCTCACTTCAAAGCCCCGGCCACGTTTTTGAACTCACAAGGTAGACTGTGTGTACGTATGGGGGAAGGTGTCCAGAGCCCCCCCCCACCCCACGCCACACTGCTTGGAGTCACTTGGTGAATGGCAGCCGGAGGTAAATGACAGCTAACAAAATCCTGACCGGTAGGGACTTTCTGCATCCTTCTTCTTACATAATCATCAATGCATTTATTTCTCGAGAGATGGTTGGGCCCGAGAACCGCTGCATCTACACTCAGGATCATTCCTGGAAGTGAGCCACTCCTTCCTAAGACGATGACGGGGCTATGACAGAATGTTTCCTTCTGTGACTACGAAACAGAGGGACAGAAAGATAGGGGGTTCCAGCCCTCTTGCTCCCAGAAGGGAAACTGAGGCCCAAAGACCCAGGCTGAGAGCCTCCAGGTCTCACAGACTCGGACGCAAGCCAGGGCTGGAGCTGTCGGTCTGTCCTCCTTCCTCTGTCCACACCCCCTCCTGTGGCACTTAGGGTTCTCGAGAAATATGTCACGCACACCAGCCCACTAACTCAGTCCAGCAAGAAGCAAGCCCCTGCAGCCCTCAGGTCAGCACACAGTAGAACTTTTTAAGATGCCATCAGAGGCGTGGGAAGGGGTCTGCCTTCTTAGGGCTTATCCAGGCCCTTCTGGCCTAAAGCTCGGTTGTCCCTGATCTTTGTGCTGTCAAGTCCTACGGGCTCCCAGCCTCCTCCGAGCCACACGGCTGAGGAGAGGTGGTGTGGAGTCCTGAGCTCCAGAAAGAGGGGCGACAGGCAGGGCTGGAGGGTGGGAAAGCCACCGACGCCTCAGAGCTGTGGTCTTTCTCTGAATGGAACTGAGCAGGGACTCTTGAGCAGTGGTTGGGCCAGCAGCCTCCCGGCTCTTGCTTCCAGGTTGTGGGGCATCCTGGACATCAGCATGCCCTGGCTCAGGGCAGAGACCGGGATGGGGCCCCTCAAGGGGAGACCCCCCGGGGTGCTCGCCTAGAAAAGAGAAAGTAGGTCCTCAGAGGTCGCAGTTGGCTGCGTCCCTCCGCTTCCTCTTCTAGCGTGGCTGCTCCTCACCCTTCTGGGGGCCATTTGCATGAGAGGAAGTCTGAGAGGCAGGGACGGCCCCGGCCTTGAAGTCACAGGCCACAGAGAAGGAAGATGAGCCAAAACCAGAGTGATCTTCATTCTGCTCTGGCCCCTGAAGTTCACCAGGGTTTCAAAACGGCCCTATTCTTCACCATGACCTTATTTCTGCATGGGGGAACCTCAGGATGCCATTAATCACAACCTGATCTTAGACTTGAAAAAAAAGAAAACAGAAAGAAAGAAAAAAAAGAGCTAAAAGGCCAATACCAAGACAAGGGTGTTGGCCCACTTGAGATGGGAACTGGGTTTCAGGTCCCCACTCCACCCACACCAGCACCCCCATTTACCAGGGACAGGAAAAGAGGTATAAGATCACTCATGCAGAGGAGTGCCCCAGGCCAAGGGGACCATCTGTAAACCCACAAGCACAACCATGTTTGATCCACTGGGGGCAGCGAGAGAGGGAAGGGGCAACTCCCCAGGAGCCTGGCTGGGGGGAGAAGCCCCATGCCGGAGACCATCCCTTTGCTGGACGTCTGGGGTCTGATCCATCTTCCATTCCAGGATGGACCGTGGTGTCGGGTCTGTAAGGCAGCAACAAATGTCTTGGGTGGGAAACGGTGTCAATAAGCCTTGGAGACCAAGTGTCCAATGTAGGGACAGGCCTCAGGATGAGAAGAAGTTACTCTCAAAAAAAAAAAATAAGGTGGGAAAATTAGAAACTAGCCCATGTCAGTCAAAGAGCTCAGGGACTTCCATCTTCTTTCATCCACACCCTCCTCAGGGGTCCTGGTTATGCTTCCATTTATCAGGAAGAGAAAGAAAGGTGCAAAGGGGAAAGGATCATCTAAGGTTATGTGGCCAGGGACGTGCCAGAGGAAGCCCCGGGGACAACAATGTATCGGGATTTATTTCTCAAGACTGGGTTCCTCATCTGAAATCGAGGCCTAGACGTGGGCTCCCTGCTGTAGTTAATGGCTTTTTTCTCGCCTGATTTCATGCAGCCAGGACTTTGGGCTGGTTCATTCTTCCAGTTACTTTCAATTAACCCGCACACCGGCCTTTCCTCCTTAATTCTGGAGCAATCCACGGGTGTCTTCCTAGTTTGGCCGTGAACTGTGGTACCTGGATGGGCGGGCGCTGGCGACTGCTCGCGGGACTTGCCTCCTGGCCCGGTGCTGGATCTGGGTTCATGTCCACAAAGGTCCCGTGAGGCGGGTGCCATGATTCTGGTTTCCATTTGACAGATGAGGATCTCATGAACACAGAAACACAGCATTCCTCCTCAAGCAGGATCTAGCCCCCAGTCCAAGAGGACCCACAGGTCCAGGAGTGAGAGGACCTGCCTTCCACCCCAGGGCTGAGCGGCTTTGCCCACAGTGCATGGTACTGCAGGGCATGAGGGGTGGGAAAAGGCCTGTGAGTGGCCACTCTGTTTTCCTTAGGATGTATTGTTTGGGTCAAAACCGTCAAGATGTTAGGTGACAACTCAGAAATCCTGCTCCCCTCGGGAGAGGATGTGGCTCAGCACTACTCAGACAGTACTACGATAGCGGAGGTGCCATCTAAGAAGTCCCATTAGCCAGAGAGCCACGACAGGGCACCCTCACCCCCCACTCACCAGCTCCTGAGAGTGGACAGGGGAATATCCCCACCCCCCACAGCCTATCCCACCTCCCATTCTGAGTGCAAAGAAACCATCTATTGCTTAGGATATTCCTCCAGAGCCTCGTCCTCCACAGACATGTGTCCTGTGCCTGAACTACATGCTCCTCACCTGTTGTCCCCTCAGGTCTTGACATGACACAATCGAAGCACAGGCCCTTTTGAATCCTACTTGGCAGAAGGGGAGGTAGAGGCTTGAGCATTTGCCCAAGGCCAAGAGCCAGTGAGTGACTATCCTGTCATACCACCTGGCTTCTCACAGAGGCCATGTCTCCCACCTGTCCCTCTGTGTCCTCTGTCCACATGTCCCTCTGTGTGTCTGTTAGAGTCTGTAAACCAGTCTGGATGGTGCCTGGCATTTTGCCAGAGGGAGTGGTTTGTGAAGTAACGCCAGCGAGCCATTAAGTGTGGAGATTCCTTATTGGTTGACTGATGTAACTAGTTTAAGTTAATTAGATAAGCTGTGTGGAATGTATAAATACCTCTGTTGTCCTACAATAAACGGCTCCCACTCCTGCTGTATCAATGTACACAAGTTGCTCGTCACCCCCCGGTTATTTTGCTGCAGCCGGACTGCGGCATGTGTCCTTACCCTTGGTGCTGGATCTGCAAAGGACAAGCCCAGAGCAGCATGCAGAGGAGATTCCTCTCAGTTTCCCTTGGAAGCCCCCTCCCATTCACTGATCCAAGGCTGTGCCTCTCCCCCACTGCACACGAGTGCACATGCACACACATATACACACACATACACACATGCACACTACCTGCAGAGCTCACACGTCTCCTCGCCTCCTTGTCCTGCCAGTGAGTCATGAGCAGCAACGATGTGAACTACTTCCAGGCTGTCATGTCTAACCACCCATGCTAGCTAGAGCTCCAGAGCATGATTTGGCGGGTAGACATAGTGACCTGCCATTTTCAAGATGGCGACTGCCTTGTCTGCATGGATCTTTATGGACAGAATCCCCCAGATGGATCCATGATGACTTCTGGGATATTGGGGTCTCCTAGTTTATCCTGACTCTACAATGTATTGTGTGGATAAGGGATTATTGCTTAACAGAACTCACAGTCTAGTAATAGAGACAGACTGGCAAATAATAATGTCATTCATTCAGCAGCCACTTACCGAGGGCCACCCTGTGGTCCGTACTGTGCTCCAATCCAGGACTGTGTCCGTGCTCAAGGTTTCAAAGGGAAGATGTGTCAATACCATGACACCCTGCAGACATTTCCGTCTCCTCTTTCCTGCCATGAAAGTTTCACTGATTAGACATTTTCTAGGAAGGCAGGGAGCAGGATCTTGTTCAGTGCTAAATCTGACAAGTCTTATATCCATTTTCTCACATAGTAGTTGCTTAATACATTGTTAGTAAATGCACTAGTTTGTAAATGAATTTACCCAGTCAACTCCACCACTCTACCTCACTGTCTTTAATGTCCCTGAATGATACTTGGAAACCTAATTCTTATGTAAGTAATAATGTTCAGCATCACAGATGAGGGAAAGATCTTGACATGATACAGAGTTATTTCCACAGAGACAACCCCAGTTCTGTTACCGCCATATTACTTTCTCCTCTGTTGCCAACTCCTTTCTTTCTCTACCTCTCTGGCATTTATATTGTAGTTAAAAGGGCTCTTCTTGCCTCTTTTGGGAGCTACCCCTCTTCTCTGGTAGTCCTCAGATTCCACCTCTAAGACCTTGTATTTTAGGTGTATCATTAGCTTCTCCTTTGGAGTCCTTGAGCCAACAGGTCAAGATTGGGGAACCAGATGAAGGAGAGAAGTGAGAAGAGGCTAAGAGGTTAGTCCCTGTCCTGACCACATGTGGGGAATGAGACCCAGTGAAAACACCAAGAGAATTCAGAGAGAGAGGACTGGTACTATGCTTAAGGATGAGATCCAGGATTAAAGTTTTATCTTTACACTGTGATTTTTGCCCGCCATCTTATACTCAATGAATTTAGATGAAAGAGGGGAAATGCATTTTTATCCAACTGACCAATAGTGATCATGGGTCTTTTTAAAACAATAACAATGACCCCCATTTATGGAGTAGGCCCTTTGAATACATTATCCTCAATGGCAGATGAGGAAACCCATAGATGTAAAAAAAAATTTACTTGATCTCAAAATCAGTTGATTTTCAAAGAGCTTCTTGAACAGTTGATTTCAATGGAAGATCAAAGATTAGTCATAGGCAAATTCTGGTTCCCACAGCTTCCCTTCCTCAAAGTTTCCCCTTTGACTCTGCAAGTCTTTGAGCCTCTCCTGAGTTTGGTAATGAATTAAAATTTAGGAAGTATGAGATGGAGGGAACTGGTACTTGAAAATATATATATATATATTTTTTAGTAGCAACAGCCTTTGCCTTCGAGATGGGGAACTTCAGATCCATGAGAAACTGAGGAGGGAGGTCAGTTGTTCCGAGGGGAAAACACACCGTTGGTGGCTTGCAGCATTCATTGAGGTCTTCCTGGAGGAGGACTTGGCTTTACTCCCAGAAGACGACAATGTCTTAAGAGAAAGCCACCATGCTTTGGGCTGACACGGGAGAGGCAGCGTCTGAGAGGACACAGCTCGACCCTTGGGTTCAAAGCCTGGCTCTGCCATGTATTGAATTGGGTCCAAAGTTTTGAGCAAGTTACTAGCTTCAGGGAGGAAATAGACATGGATTCAAGTGTTTGGTTCCAATGTGGATTGGATAAAAGAACTTGCCACAGTGTTCCCGTGGTCTCCGAGGCCCTGGGGATTTTCAGGCTCAAGCAGCCATTGTTGGTTTCTCTCTGAACAGAGACAGAAGGCCTACCTCCAGTGCTACTTCCACCCCTCACAGTGGCCACACCACCTTCTGTCAAATGGGTGTGAGGGACCTTTTCCTACAGGGCTCTCTTGGGGTCTTCACCCAGGTATGGCGGTCTCAGGGCTCTTGCCAAGTGCAGACTTGGCTTCTGGACTATCCGACACCTCCAGGCACCAAAACCAATCTTACAGCACTAGAGGGATGAAGAGGTCTGGGGCCACCTAGAATGGCAATTGTAGAGTTGCCTCAAAATGAGGCTGTTCTGCAGCCGAGGGGCGGAGCTCTTCAAGAGTGCGTGTTGCCAGGGAGGAGAGCAGTTCCGAGGGCTCCTGAACTGGCAACAAGCACCAGGAGTCTTGCTGCTGATCATCAGGGAGTGTGGCAGGAGAAAAGAGGCCCTCTGCGCCTGCTCCCCACCCAAACACACAACTGGTTTAAAAATCTGCGTTTTAGAAAGTAGCAGAGACACTTTGACTAAGACTGGCTTGAAGAAGAGAAAAAAAAATAAAATAAAAAACAGAATCGGGAAAGAGGCCCCGGGGCTCTACAGGGGAAAGTGTATTGACAGGAAGAAACCAAGTTAGATGTCAGAACTGTACCATCTGGGCATCGTCCCTTTAGGGAGGACAATTATGGCCCAAACTTCAAATTCTCTTAGGCTTTCAGGGAAGAACATGAAAAGTGATGACGTCTCCCCTCAGGAATAGCCAGAGATGGAAATTCCTCTTTCCTTAGCATCACTTAATATTTCCAACTATCTGAAGCCATTCCTCACTCTGTCTTCACTCACAAAGTTTTCCCAGTTTGCAGATCAAGAAGACAAAGTTGAAGCCCAGTGGAGAGGCACATGCCTGTAATCCCAGTGGCTCGGGAGGCTGAGGCAGGAGGATCGTGAGTTTGAAGTCAGCCTTAGCAAAAGCGAGGCCCTAAGCAACTCAGTGAGACCCTGTCTCTAAATAAAATACAAAATAGGGCTGGGGATGTGGTTCAGTGGTTGAGTGCTCCTGAGCTGCAGGCTGAAGGCAGATCTGACTGGGTTCTCCTTGATTCTGCTTGAAGCATACATGGGTAGAGAGCAAGACACCACTTCCAAGTTCTTCAGCAATTGCTGCGATCGTTTCCCTTCCTTGTTTAACACCTTCCACCCGCCGGCCTGTAGAGCAGGATGGCCCTTTGCTATTTGAGAGAATATCAACCCTTGAAGAGACTAGAGCTTAGACTGTTATCAGAGGAGCTCTACATGGTGCAGAGTATCCAGGAGAGCGGCCTGGGTCTGAGCAGATTGTCCTCCAGGGGGAGAGCAGGGCAGGTAGGTCCCCAGTGCAGCCCACCCCTCTGTGCCCATGGCCTGCTACACCCTCATCCTAATGCTACACCCCGCATGCCTTTGCACGCGGGTTGTTCCCCCTGCCTGAAGCACCCTTCCCGATGGGTTGACCGATCAGATGAGATTTCTGCCCGAGGCCCTTGACCTAATAGATTGTGTCTTCAGGCTTTCTCTCCAGGTCCAGAGCATTTAGCCACAAAAATGTCCCCAAATATTTCTGTCCCAAGTCTCCTGTCCTTAGTCTACATTTTCTATTGCTCTAGGCACATAGCCCAGAGGTCTCTTTTGGATGGAGTGCATGGCCGTGAGTATTAGAGAGAACATGATTTTTAGATGATGAAAGACCCTGATTCCAATTCCAGTTGGGACACTTAAGGGCTGCATGGCCCTAGCTAAGGGCCTCAACCTTCCCAACCCAGGATGCCACACCTGCAGAGGTAGTCATCAAAGGTCACGGTAAAGTCACATGGTGCACACTGGGGACTCTAAATGTTGGCACCCTAGCCCAGCCCTTTGCCCTGAGTGTGACAACCTGGACGGAACTGGCTTCTTTCTTTGGAAGAAACTGCTGAGCTGTCCTTGGTCCTCCTGGGAGGGAGAAGCTCTGTCCCCACATTGGTGTGAGTCCTGCAATGGCTCCTGAGAAGTCTGTGCCAGCAACTCCATGAGACTCGGAGCCCTCTGCTAACCCTCCCCACTCCCTGGTGAGAGAAAGAGAGGAGCTCTCTCAGCGCCCTGGCAAAACCCCGAACCCCGGGCCAAGGCTGATTAGAGGGAGTGCTCACGTCCCCCAGCCAGGCCCTGCCCGCATCACATCCCGCCTGCTACACACCTGTGCTATTAACTTGTCTCCACAAACCCGCAAAGGCTGGCCAGAAGCAGGCTTCTCTTCAGCCAGTCCAGGTGGGCGGGGATCACCCCTCTGCAGGGCTCCAGCCCCTCTAATTTTCTCCTCTCCCGAGAGACTGCTTCCCTCAGGGAGAAGGGCATGGGAAGCCCTGTAGGATCTGGTGGGTGCAGAGACTCAGCTACTCCTGCATCCACCCCTTTATTCCTTCATTAAATATTGGCTGAGCACCTACTGTGTGCAAGGGACTGTGCTAAGTCTTAAAATAAGGCAGACAGGTGGGAGCCACGCACGTACCTCCACCCCTCCCCAGCCTGGCTTCCTCACCTGCTCCAGCTCCCTGTGCCCACGCCCTTAGCACCAGCCCAGCTCCTCGCTCCGATGCTGGCCGAAGCCTCCACACCTTCTGCCTGATCTGAGCACCAGGCTGTTGCAAGTCATCTTCCCAGAAGGTCAGCCTGGTCCATCAGCCCCAGCTGTGCCTTTCCCCACCTGGACTCTGTGCTCCCTTTAACACAGTTCACATTGTTTTTTTTTTTTTCAATTTGGGCTTAACTCCAAGCAATAACATCCATGAAGTCGCAGGTGGGATGACAACTCACTTTTTATACCAATGTGAGTTCTTGAAAATCTTTCTTAAAATGAAGAACCATTATCCACAGGACACCCAAGACCATCAGGCACCCCTGCTGCCACCCATGGAAGGCCCACTGGTCTGTGCCACCTGGGAAGAGGGTCCCTTGCTTCCTCTCGAAGATTTGTTATTGAGCCACTACCAGGTACCAAGCTGTGTTTTCGGGTCAGGCAGAGTCCAAAAAATGGTATAACTCTTGCTCTCGTAAAGCTGCTATTAATGGTAAAACAGACGATGAAAAATGAGATAAATGGGCAAGTGCATGGAGACTGCTAGTAGATGACACATGTTAACTGGAAAAAAGTCGTAAGAGAAAAATAGGCAGAAAAAAAAAAAGAGTTGTAATAGGCTTCTTCCCTCCTCCCTCCCTTCTCCTTCCCCCCTCTGGCACCTGGCAGCAGGCGCTCCCATCCCACCATCGCACCACACCACACCCCTAGCCTGGAAACTCAAAGAAAATTCCTAGGCAGTCCTCTTCCAGCTGGGTACAGCAGGTGGCACAGCCTGCAAACACGGCCATCCTGAAGACACATCTGGGGCGGCCTGCAGAGGCAGCCTTCCGCAAGCCGTTCCCACTGTTCATCCACACTGGCCCTGCCTGGGTCTCGCCTCCTCTTTCCTGGGCTGCAAGATGCCCTGTGATGTGCTGTGGTGCCTGAGACCCTAGGGAGACACATCACAGGGCCAGTCACACCCCAGCCATGCTCCTTCTGTGCAGCCAGCCAGAGGCTGGGGCAGGGGACCAGCACCCAGCCCCCCTCACCCCAAGACAGAGTGTCACCCGCTTCTCTGGGAAGTGAGTTTTCAGGTGCACCAAAGAGCCTGACCTTCCAGAAGTGGGTGAGGGTCCATAATGAAACAAATCGTCTCGGTCTGTTTTCTATTGCTGTAACTGAATGCCACAGACTACTAGTGCATGAAGAAGGGGGGTGCGTTTGACTCACAGTTCTGGAGGCTCCGAGCGAATGTGCTGGCATCTGCCTGGCATCTGGTGAGGACCTGCCTGCTACCATCACTCAGGGAGGCACAGCAAGGGAGCAGAGAGGGCTTGCTTTATAACAAGGCCAGCCCCTCCATAACCCATTTATCCACAAATGGATTAATTCCTTCATAGGGGCAGAGTCCTCATGTCCCAAGGTCCTATTTCCAAATACCCTGAACATGTGACTTTGGGGATGAAGTTTCCAGGATATGCATTCTAGGGGACAAACATTCAAACCATAGCACAAATTCATAATAGAATCATGTGTTGTGATCAGTGCTGTGCAGAAAGTGAGTGGCACGACTTCACGGGGCCTCGGGGAAGCTCTGGGCTGGTGAGATGAGGTGCCAGGAGGAATCTGCCCTGCTGGGCGGTGGGTGCCCTGCTCCCCAGGTTTGGGAAGCAGCATGAGGGGAATGAGGCTGGAGCTTCACAGGAGGAGGAGGAGGCTGCACCCTTCAGCTCTGCACCAGGACAATGAAACACCCATGGGGCCTTGCTTAATCAAAAGATTTGCTAATGGAGCTCACCACCCTGGAGGTTTACATCCAAGACCTGGCAGCCCCACAGGCTTGTGCTTTTGGGGAGGTGCTGAGTGGCAATGGCGGATCAAGGGGTCACATCTGAGCCAGGAAACAGAGATTCTGAAAGAGATGGGGTCCCACACTGTCCTCCAAGGACATGCCCCAATGACCTATAGGACCTCCCACCAGGACCCACCTCTTAAAAGGTCCCGGCACCTTCCAATACAAACACTGCCACCCGGAGGACCCCCTGAGGACTGAGCCTTTACATCTGGAACTCGGGAGCCACGCAATTGCTCCCAAAATGTAGAAGAGGCCAGGAGGGCTTGAGCAGAACTGAGAAGGGAGAGGACCCAGCAGGGGGCCTTGGAGCATGAAGGCCTGACAAGGACGTGGCTTTTATTACAAATGCCATGGAAAGCCACAGGTGAGTTTTAAGAGGAGAAATGCCACAAGGAACACTCACTCTGCGGCTTGATGCTAGTAAGGATGAAGGAGGGGGATCCCATAGGGCATCTGGGGGGATTTTTCTCCTCTCAGCCAGGATATGCTGGGCTCTGAGATTCCCCCAAGGAGGAGGGTAGGCAGCTATGAGACTGTGTCCCTGCCTCTTGTCCATTCTCCCTGCCCAGATGCGGCCAGGCACCAGTGGTCTTACATCCAGGTCTCCCCTGGACGAGAACCAGCAGGACAAAGAGATAGGATAGGTAGGAGGGCTGGTCAGGCCCTTGAGGGACAGCAGGTGTCTATCTAGATGACACCATTCACTGTCTTCCTAACTGACCACTGCAGACCTTCTGGGGTCTGACCTCTAAATTCCTCTGCATGCCCAGGGCCAGCGGCTCCTTGTTCCTTTCCTGGAGGGTCATAGTTGGGGATTAGAGAAGTAGGCAGCACCTGGAGAATGAATAGCAGATGCCCTCCACGTGCCCATCATGGACCTTCATGAAACAAATAGGCTGGAGGGGAGCAGCCCACCTGCTGTGGGTTGGCTCCATCTCGGAGTAGAAGAGCAAGAGGGAAGCAGAGAAAATAGCAGCAGACGCAGCAGGTTGTCCCCAGAGAAGTGCTCAGTGCAGCCCTGATCCCTAGCCCCGTTCCCTACCTGACCTGTGTCTGGGGTTTGATGGAAACATGGTTTCTGGGGTGGGGTCTGCAAGAAACAGGGAGCTGACCTCCTGCTAGGACCACCTCCTGGACACCGTGCTCTCCTGATTGTGGCACCTGCTTTACGGACAGACTGCATGTACCTGCAAAGCCCAGAGCCCCAGCTGCAGGGATTGAAAAGGGGCGCACAGCCGCACACCCTGGCTCCCCGCTGCTCCTGCTTCCTTGGGGAGGCCCCGGGCATCCCAGAGACACTGCAAGCCCCGAGCCGAAACAGGAGAGTGGCTGAGATGCACGGTCATCTGCTCATTCATTTTTATCTCAGGGTAGCATTTTACTCTTATTTTAAAATTTCAGAAGATGGGTGCCCACTGAGCTAGTTTTGGAAATCAGAGGAATATTGAAAAGGAAAAGAAAAATGTACTCACTACTGATAATGCTGTTTTCAGACCTCTGCTTATGACTTGATGCAACTCTCTGCCATTAAAACATAGCATAAATGTGGCTTTGTAGTCTTTTATCTTTACTAAGATAAAAGATATGTATTTTCTCATGGCTCTATTTATTTATTTATTTGTTTGCTTATCTATTTATTTATTTATTATTTATTTATTTATTTATTTTTCTGGTGCTGGGGATTGAACCCAGGGCTTCACCCATGCTAGGCCAGCACTGTGCCACTGAGTTACATCCCCAGCCCCTATTCTTTTTGAACATGATAAGAGCTCTTCTGTATTGAGTACACACGAGGTGCCACATTCTATCCCGCATGTGAACAGTGCACGGAGGTGGACATTATCACACATATTCCCTTTACAGATGAGGAGCCAGATGCAACAGCTTTAAGTAGCTCACCTGAAGCTGGGAAAGTACAGTAGTACAAGATCACCCTGGCAGACTGGCCTTTATCCTTCACCCGGGCATGATTTATGCTAAGTGCCCCCACTGAACAGCTGGGTGCACATTTACTTGAAAACCTCCGATGGGGGATACTATGCTGTTTCAGTGTGCATCTTTATTTCCTTAGAATAATTTTCTGGAAGAATAGAGCAAAGGATATAACTTATATTTTTAATTTTTTTTATTCCAAAATAATTTTAGAGTCTCAAGAAGTACCAAAAATAGTACAGGAAGCTCTCAGCTCTCTGCAATGATAATATATTATGCAACTACAGTACACTGAGAAGACCAGAAAATTGACACTGGTACAATACTATCAGCTGAGCAGCAGACCTAATTTGGATTTCAGCAGTTGGCATACCTTTCTTCATATTTTTGTATAGTTCTATGACACTTTATCTCATGTAGAGACTCACACATGCACCCAGCGAGGAGATGTTTAAAACGTATAAAGTGTCTTGTCAAAATTTCCTCAAGACTGGCTGCCAAGAACAACGTACCCGAAGGTGGTAGCCATTGTGTGGGGATGACCAGACACAGGACACAGTGTCTGGAACTCAGGAAGGTTGGCCAGGCCACTGGGAACACCTGGCTGTCCTGGTCCAGGGGCCCATGTCTGTGGCTAAAACCCTGTGCTGGGGACATATCTTATTAGTCATCTCGAGGTCCACCCAAGTACCTTCCCAGGATGTCCCCATTTGGAGGGCAGGTGATCACATGAATTTTTCCACAGGTAACTAACATTGAGTGGTAGTCAAAGGAGTGAATGTAAGTCACGAGGAGGCCATTAGGTACTCTACAAACCCACCTGAGTTTCCCTCTCCTCACCTGTACAAGGGGATCGTGGACACGATTCAGGAGGGAAGAGTGACCTGCAGGTGCTAATTGCCTCTCACTTGGTCACTGCAATTCAGTAGCCTCTCTCTAACTTAGCAGGTGATAGCTTTCAGCACTGATCATCTTGAACACCACACGTCTCTCTCCTTCCAGGCAGGGTTATAGGAACCCGTTATTAGGGAGGAAGCTAGGCTTAGGAAAACAGAGTGGCCACCATCCCACATCATGGCAGACACTACCTCTGTGAGCTCGGAGTCTGCCAGTCAGGTGCACCTGCCCTGAAGTGCTCTGCGTCTCACTCCCAAATCTGTGCAGATAGTGAGAGAGATGTCTTCCCACGCCAAGGACTGCCCCATAGTCAGGAGTTTAGAAGTGGCTGCCTGTGACCTCCAGCTAAAATCTGGATCAAGCTCTCAGGCTGTGCTCTAAGGCCCCCTCTGGCAGGAAAGCAGGTTTGCTCTTGCTGTGAGGTGCGTGCTCCCTAAATGCAAAGGCAAGGAGATCAGCTCCAAATGGATTTTTCTGGATAGAGTTTTATTCATTCTGAAAAGAAGGCAGGTAGCGAATTTCCCTGGTGTCACTTGACACAGGAGGCAGCTGTCTCCCAAGACGAGGAGAGAGAGGTCTTCCAGTCACTTCTGATATCCACCTTGCAACTGTCCTCACAGAGAGACCACTACGGGTTGAGCAAGCCCTTGGATCTTATTTAACAGGAAAAGCAATAATAATAATAATAATAATAATAATAAAATAAATAAGCTTTCTTGGCCTGAAGTCAACCATTGCTTCTCCAGAAGTCATTCAAATGTGTGTGTCGAGGCATATTTAGAGGCATGTGCGCAGCAGACACCTGACTGGGGAGAGAGGAAGCCAGGAAATGATTTAGCCTCAACGTGTTCCGTAGAAGACACATTGGGGTAGCCTCAAACTGAACCAGGGCCAAGGTGCAGGTGCGCCTGCTCGATGTCTCCATGGCTTTTCACAGTGACAGATTCCAACATTCCTTTTGCGCCACCATCAGGAATGAGTCAACTTGGGGATTCTATTCCTGGAATTATTCTTCAAGCAGTTCGACTTTGTCATATATCAGAGACAAGTTGATGGATTCAGAAAGGTCAGGCCCAATCACAAATGGTGGCATTGGTGTTTATGTCCAGAACCAATGGTTGGTCCTGTAGTTGATCTGGTTCAGTCTGCAACCAGGAGGGAAGGCTCCTGGTTTGGAGCAAAGGTGACAGAGCACTAAGTTCCTTCAGGATAGTCTCTGAGGGAGAGCAGTCCAGGGACGGAGATTCTAGGCCAGTCAGAACAAGCAGAAAGTCAGTCCGAACATGTCATTCACCAGCGACTCCGACGATACCTTTTCCTCTAAAGTAGAGCTATTTCTAAGTTGCTCATAGAGTTGTTCCACCTGTAGCAACCAGCCACATGAGAGTGATTGAAGATACAGTAAACAGCATCTGAGCACAAAGGTGTTGCTCGGAGTATTATTTATTTATTTATTTATTTATTAAATATTTATTTATTTTTTAGTTATTGGCGGACACAACATCTTTTGTTTGTATGTGGTGCTGAGGATCGAACCCGGGACGCACACATGCCAGGCGAGTGCGCTACCGCTTGAGCCACATCCCCAGCCCCTCGGAGTATTATTTATAATGGCAAAAACTGGAAACGCATTTCAATAAAATAGAAATGATGAAATAAAACATAAGAGAATGCCTCATTTGAATATTATGAAATCATAAAGTGAGGTTCACTCAGACAGTAATAACAAAGAAAAATATCAATGCTCTTTTGCTGAGTGACTTTATCAGTATCTACTACTATATAGCGACAGAAAGAATAAAAGGATGATCACAAGAACATGTCTAAATCCTTCAATGGAAAATTATTCCAAAAAAATATTGAATAAGGTTATTGTTATTTTCCTCAGTGTTTGACTTGTCTGCACCCTCAGTCAGACGTATGGATTAATTTATAATGGAAGTGTAAGGAAAGTGAAATGTAGACAGTTCTTTTTAAAGGCTTGATGAGGCATGTTACAGATGTCCCAACGGCTTTGGGAGGGACCTAGGACTGGGGACCCAGCAACTGAGTTGGTGGAGCTGAGAAATCAAAGAGGAATTAAAGAAACGAAAGAACCCGTAGGATTACTTTGGTGATGACAATATAAAGAGACCTTAAATAGCCTCACAAGTCTCAGAGCAGGAGAAACGGGAGCCCAAAGCCCTGGGTGTGCCCATGGGGATGAGCTGGGGATGGCCAGGCTGGAAATAGCCCCTGCTCCAGGAATGACAGCAAGTGTTCCATGTTGCAAAGTCAAGGAGAAAGAGATAAGGGTGAGGAGAAAGCTCAGCGGATCCTTCAGAGGAAGGAAGGAATAGGAAAATGCTATCAGCCTCCCCACACGCCCACCAGGAGGCTGTTGGAGGAGGGAGGCCAGGGGCCTGCAGGAGGGATTGTGTAAGAATCTCAGTGCCAAAACGGGGAAACCAGCGCAGCAGTTGAAGGGAAGAATGATGGAGGCTGTTAAATGAGCACTGCTTGTATCCTTGGAAAAAATTGCAGAAGAAAAGCAAGTAATGCTTTTACCCAGGGAAGAGTCCGGGAGTTCAGCCAGCACCGGGCCTTCGCAGCAGGAGGGGAACAGGAGTGTACCCTGGCGAGTCTGATTGGCTGATTCTGGTCAGCTCTGCCCAAACTGACCCAGGATCCTAGCTCTAAGGCGCATGGCTTCGGAGCTGTGCCTTGCAATGGTCCCAGGTGTTTGAAGGACAATGAGGAGTGGGACTTTGAAGGGGCATTCCACAGCTTCCATGGAGACGGGGTATAAACAGCACAGTGTCCACCCTGGGCTAAGACTTTCTATTCTCTCATTTAGTCCTCAGAAAAACAATTCTCAATTTATTACTTGATTTTACTTATTTTTAAACAGACTTTCTCTTGTAGAGCAACTTTAGGTTCACAGAAAAATCAAGGGAAAGGAAGAGTTCCCATAGAAGCCCTCTGTTCCCGGAGGCTTTTATACTCCCTTTTGCAATGGATGAAAATGAGGCTTAAGAGTTTAAATGACTTTCCCACAAATGTGCAGATAGTAACTCTCAGAGGCAAGACTCAAAACCAGGCTGTGGACACCTCTGTAGAGCAGGGGTCAGCAAACTACAGCCCAGGAGTCAAATCAACCTGTTTTGTATGCTCATTAGCTGAGAAAGACTTTTACAATTTTTAATGGTTTCGGGGGAGGATATTTTGTGACACATGAAAAGTATGTGAAATCCAAGTTTGTGTCCATAAACAGTTTCCCTGGAACCTGGCCACACGCCTTCTTTGGTGTCTGTCTAGGCCTGCTGCTCTGTGTGAAGGTAGAACTAAGGATTTGACACTGACCATGCACCCACGAAGCCTAAAACCTTCACCACTCGGCCCATTACAGAACAAATTTGCCAACTCTGCCTTGTAGAATCATAGCTATCTCATTTACTAAATTTTTCATTCCAATATCGTCAGATGTTGCGGGCCAGCATGGAGGAGACCAGTAAGCTTTCCAAAGATGCTGTCTTGGGAGTGATGCTCGGTTCTCCTTTAGACCAGAGCAACTCACCTTCAAGGTTTTGTGGAGTTAGGCATCTGTGGAATATTTCATTTCGAGAAAGGGCTCTTCTGCTACACACACACACACACACACACACACACACACATACAACTTTAAATATGAAGCCTTTTCTCATGGAAAGAAAGAAGAATAGTCCCGATGAAGGTGATGTTTGGACACTGGCAAACTGGAGAGTAGACCCCTGGGCATGGTCCACCCTGGAGTAAGGAATGATGTGTACAAAACTGTCCTTTCAGATTCCTGTAATACCTGTGTGCAGCCTGAGAATCACATAGCTGAATGGGGGTTGGAAATCGTCACTGTTCTGATGATGATAATGATAATGATCACGACGATGGGCAATGCTGACATAACCAGAGCATTATTGCAGAAAAATAGAGTGAGGGTAATCATCATCCAGTTTGCTTGGGATGTCCCAGGCTCAGCTTTCAAAGTCCCAAGTCCTGGAAACCCCTGGTCATGGGCAAATTAGGATGGCTGAGCACCCTGTAAAGTAAGGCCAAGCTGGGCGCGGTCGGGGGTGAGCTGAAGCCCACGTTAGTGGAATTGACACAGAACGGATTTCTCCAACAAGTTTATTATTTGGTTGATGCAATCCATAGACTTGCTGGATGGCATCCCAGACTCTATAAATAGACAGGAAATGTGCAGGAACCTCAAACCTGGTGTTCAACATCATGGAATCACATGCTTTAGTAGGGCCACCGCTCAGAAGTACAGCCTCCCCCAGGCACCAGAATGAGGACTGATTCACACCTGGGGAAGTGCACCTCGGACATCATGTAAATTGTAGCTCAAGGTCAGAGCAAGAGGAACCGTGGTTTTATTCTCATTTCCTCATCCTGGCAAGTGTCGAAGAGGTGAGATGACGTTCCGAGGCTTCTCAGGGCTCTGGAGACAGCTGAGCTTTCCTCTTCAGATCACCTGAAAGATGCAGGTGTGGCCATCACAGTGGGCAGTTGGATCAGAAGCCCCCGTTTTTCTTTGGATGCCTCCTTTGCAAGGATAACAGCTCCAAACGTCAAACACCAGAATCAGAACATGAGAGGATGAACACCAAGGAGCCTGGGATCAGGGGAGTACTTCCCAAGGGAACGAGGACTTGTGGACACATCTGGCCAGAGAAGAAAGAACAGTATCTTTTAAAATATAGCCACATAGCAATGATAATATATTGTAAACTGAAAGCAGAGGATGGGAGGGTGCTGATAACTGGCTAATGCAGTTCATGTGGAAAGCCAGGCCAGAGAATTGAAGGAAAAAAAAATCATTGCTCTGAGACATGTATTAAAAAAAAAATCACATTCCCATTAAACACCTGCTTTGTGTCAGGTACTGGACTAGGTGCAGGGAGCATTGAAGCCATTAGGTTATGGACAGGCAGAAAATTGAACCGTGTCAAAGACAGACCAAACAAACACCTAGAGCAACTGCAAGTAAATCCTATGATGGAGAAAGGAAGAAAAGGAACCGGAAAAGGAGGGAAGGAGAAAGAAGAGAAAAAATAGAGTCATAGGGAGACCAATTTTAGATAATAAGGACAGAAACTCCAAAGAGGAGGTTTCTAACCTGAGTCCTCAGCAACGAGAGTGGGTCATCTAAAGAAAGGAGTTAAAGAGGAAGAGCCGCAGAATAGAGGAAGGGGCTCCAGGGAAGGGAGGAGGGGTGGGGAAGGAGAAGACAGCAAAATGGAATGGAGCGAATGACATCAGGTACAAGCAGGAAGGCATTGCAATGGATTCCACTTTTATGTATAACCATGATGCACCAATTAAAAAGAAGTCAAAAAAAGAAGAAAATAGAAAGGAGTCAAAAGCGTCTGAGATAGAGTAAATATATATGTTCTTCACATTTTCTTACCAAACTCAGTGCGTTATGTACCCAATGATGGCCCAGTGATGTGACTGGTTTTTTTAGACACAGTTCTATTGACGGGAGTGATTCCTCTCAAGGGAGCCCTTCAGCTCAGCGGGCGGTGGTGCTGTTTTTAAAGTCTCAGACTCCTTGAGTTAGTTTCAGCCAAGCTGAGAGAGGCTGGGCAGATCCATCCCTGTCCCCAGAGCTCCAATCCCTGTCTTCAGAAAACAGCGGGCAAGACACCCGACGGAATAAAATCAGAAATCAGAATAAATATTATATATATATATATATATTTTTTTTTTTAAAGTGAAAACGAGATGAAAAGGATTGAGAAGGCGCCAAGTGATAGTTCCGTTAATCTTCGGGGGAGGGGAAACATGTCAGAGAATGTAAACCAGATCAGCCCAGCCCGGGCTGCAAGTCCGCAAAGGGAATTAAATTCCTATGGAAAAACAAGTCTCTGATTATGAAAGGATTTGACTGTGTAGAAGAATCTGGAACATCACTCTATTAAAAATACTTGTAAAACCAGGGGAATCGTGTAAGAAATTAGAAGCTAAAAGGGGTGGGAGAACTTGTGCTGTCGGAAAGAGAGTTATTATTTCAGACACAGTATCATATTAGTGAGACGCCAGGAAGAAAAAAAAAATTGCTTTCAATTCCAAAAAGCCATATTTATGATCAGGTAGTGTCATATATACTTCTCAGCGATGCACTTAACCCTTTATATGGATGCCGTGTGTCTGAAATATAAGTAGTTAACGTTTTATAAAAGTGATCCCAGTGCATCTGGGCTATATTGATGTCGTGATCCAAATAAAATGAATCAATAACAAAATTAATCTAGATGCAGAGGGGGAGTAAAAAAGATTCTTGGAGGTTTATTAAGGACAGATTTTTAAAAATTGCTAAGCATCAGGAGACACTGATATTAGTAAAAATCTGTCCAAAACTGGGTGGGTAAAGTAAGAACTATTGGGAAAAGATGTCCCTAACTGAAATGAGAAGGAAACAAAACAAAAAAGTTTTAGCTCATTCCAGACTATTACAGGCAGCTGCTGTGTTTCACATTTACTTGTTTTAGCAAATAAATGTTTGGTGTGGGTGTGTTATAACAGTGTCTCCCATCTTCCATTTTTTTTTTAATTACACATTTTTGGTGCAAACATAAATGGGAGTTAGTTTAGGCATGTACAGGAATTTGTTTTTCTTCTATTTTTTTTCCCCCACCAACAAAAGGCTTGCAGGAAGATCCTTTGTTCCAGCAGCAGCTAATGAGGGCTGGTTGTCAGTGGGTTGGGGTGCTAAGCAGCCTGCGAATGGCTGCCCATCACTTCCAGTGGGAAGAGGGGCCTGGGGAGCATTTGCAGAGCGTTTTGGATTGTCAGGACAAAACCCCTCTTCCCTCCTCCCGGATGCCAGTTCGCCAAGTGTCTGATTTCACAGAGCTCAGCAAAGAGGGCTCCGTTACTGAATCAGACTAGAGGCAACCCGGCCAGCCAGAGGGAGAAGCATGGTGCACAGAGAAGCTGGGCCTGGCTTCTCTGGGGACATGGGGTTGGCTCCTAGGATACAAAGACCCAGAGCCCAGGTCACTGCCTTTCCCCGTCGATATGCCAACAATTTCTAGATGCTGATTCCTTCCTAAACTATTCTTCTGACCCACTTTCTGAATCTTGAACCAAGCCAGGCGCATCCCTCCTCCTGGCTCCCTGGGACTTGGCTTTTCTTCTTCTGAAACCTCGGGCCTTCCCTGACCACCTGCTCTGAGGCAGCTCCCTTTCCCCCAAAGCCCATCACATGGGCAAAGTGCCGTTATTTATTTTCTCCATAGCACTTATTACTGGCTGAGGATTTCTTATTCATCAATTGATTTTTGCTTTGCTTTGTTTTGCTGTTTCTCCTGTCCACAAAACGTAAGTTCCCTTAGAACAGGATTGACCTCAGAGCCCCAAACAGCGCCTGGTACAGAGGTAGCCGTCAAAATCATTGGAAGGTGGATGGAAAGTTACTAAAAAGATGTGCAGGTAGATGAATAGATGGGTGGATGGATGGATGGACAGAGGGACGGATGAAGGGGTGGATGGATAAGTGAATGAACTGATGGATGAACCTGCACTCATGGGTGTTTTTTCTTAGGTAAAGTTCAGATATAGAATTTTTAGGCTCAATTCCACACACCACTGAATGTTTTTCCACGTGTCAATGGCACAACTGATGTTCCAAGATACCCACTAAAATCCACCTAAAACAACACATTCGTTGGTTTTCTTCTCCTTTTTTTACCCCTCTAATTAACAGCAAACTGAAGAGCATATTGAAATACTCAGATGTACCCAAAACAAAACACCCTGGCAGACTGAAGCAAATCCAGCAAAGGGGACTCGAGTCTTGTCTTATAGCACCCTGTCACTTATTGACAGATTTTAAAATTCTGGATGTTTGTTCCCTACAAACCACCCCTGAGAGAACTCCCCGGACAACCTCTACAGTAGGGTAACCAAATCCGTCCCCGTTTGCCTGGGATGTCACCAGTTTTACCATGGACCATCCCATATCCCAGGAAATCCCTCAGTCCTGAGAAAACCAGGATGGTTAGAGACACAGAGAGTGACCAGACATCTCTCACCTCTTACATGGAAATAGGAGCTCTAGTTCTCCAGGCCAAAAAAAAAAAAAAAAAAAAAAATCCATCTTGGAAGAATTTGGGAAGCAACAGAGGAAGAATCTGGCAGTTACAGAATCAGGAGCCACAAGCCCAGTGAGCCCGGCTGAACTTTTCACTTTTCAGTGGGACCACAGATGTGGGTGCACCCTTGGCCAGAGTGGCAAACCACAACAGGGTTGTGACCAAGGGAGTGTCTGTGAGAAGCCAGGTCTAGACCAGTGTTCAGATCTCTCAGGTTGGGGCCGGCAGGGTCAGGGCCACAGGGTGTGACAGTTTGAAGCTGTGTCTGCACTGGGTTACCTTTAAGCCCTACTTCCCCTGGTGGCCTGGGGGAGCAGGGGGAGGAATGGAGTGGAGTGGGTCAAGTTCAGGTCCAACATCCTGCCTGCCTAGGTGGCCAGATACAGCAAATAAAAAGAGGGGGCGTCCAGTTAAATTCAAATTTCAAATAAACAACTGTTTTTTTTTTTCTATAAGTATGTATCCTATATTGTTGAAGATATATTTTCACTAAAAAATTGTTCTTGTCTGAGATTCAAATTAAATGGAGCATCCTGTATTTTAAGCTGGCATCACGGTTCCTATGTCTGGAGACTCCTCCTGCCTTCTACCTCCCTGGAGACTGCAGGCCCCTGACATGTGGGCCAAATAGCTGGAGACCAATACCCTGCCCGGGCTACTCCAATCAACCAAAAGGCAGGGGAACTATGGTGCCTGGTTCTGTGAGACACAAAGGAAACTTAGAAGAACAGCAAGTGCCTCTTTCCAAGAGCCTAGGAAGAGCATAAAGCTTTCCTCTCTTCCAACCAGAGAGAGCTTGGACTCTGGGAGAAGCTGGTATACTTCCCAAACTGTCTTCCTTTATGGTTGTGGGGATGCTGGGCTTTGTCCAAGGGGACCAGGGACAAGGGTGGAGCTCGGTAGATCTCCCATTCAGGTGATTCCAAAAAGGAAGAGCTTCCAAAGGGGTCAGTTCGAGATCCTGTGGTGATGACCGTGGTCAAAGCTGAAAATCCCAGGACCACACACACACACAACCAGAGTGGGAAAGGAGTGGAAGGAAAATCCTAAAGGTCCAAAGGCCCCGCAAACCACGTCAGCAGAGAAGCACTTCAGGAGGAATGGGCCTGCGTCTAAAAAGAGTGACTGCATGGTCACCGCTCACCATGATGGGACATTACGCCAGTGGGTGCACCTGGGTAGACCCGTGGCTCTTAACTGGGGTCAATCTCCCCTCCAGGAGACATCTGGCAACCTCTGGAGGCTTTCTCAAGTTGTCCCAACAGGATGGGGTGTTGCTACTGGCAACCGGTAGGTAGAGGTCAAGGGTGAAGTTCAGCACCTGCTACAAGCGGGACAGCCCCCTGCGGCGAGGAGTTATGCAGCCCGGATGCCAGAGGTGCTGGGGCTGAGACTCTTGATCCATCCAACAGTTTGAGAAGACCCACGTCCTTCCCCCCGAGGGGTCTCTGAGTGGGAGCTAAACTACGTGGAGTTTCTAGGTCTCAGGAGCCGAGGGAGAGAAGCCTGCTATACTAGAAGGGGAAGTGAAGAAGAGGAGAGGAAAGGCCCCAAGCCACCGTCCCCAGCGGTGATCTGCCAAAGTGTGTGCTTATTAGCCAATTACAGCCGAGATTTACTACGCAGAATTACATTTCCATTTAAGTAGGACCCAAACCGTTCCTGCCCAAGCCACCAGCAAACTCCACAGGGCTTTAATGTGACCGAAGACAAAGTCAGCTAATAGAGCCGGGTGTTAATGGGTGCCTGGGATTTATACTTTAATTGTTTCCTCGGTCCCTGGTCTCAAGGAGGTATTTGTCTTGGTACATGGACACCAACAGCGAGCCTTAACATCACACGCAGGATTATGAGGGGTGTTTTTAATTATTATTTCATCTGTAATTATAGGCAAGTTCCGTTTATTATTTAGAAAGCCTTGAAAACATTTTAATTGAAATGGTCAGTGGCCTTTCACTGACCCTGTCTAAGACATACCCTGGCAATCAAAGGATGTTCGACTATTGGGTTAATAAGGAGAGTCCCTGTTCTAAACCAACTCATAAGCATTATTTAAAATTTTGGATTTGAGGGTTTTTTTCCCCCAAGATTTATGGCACAGTTGAAATGAGGTCAAGTGGAAGCACTAAAGAATTTAATTAGAAATGTCCTCGCGTGCTCCCTATCACTGTAAACCTCGCATAGGTTGTCCCTGGAGGGTCCGAGTCATCAGCATTAGAGATGGCATGTACTTTTTTTTTTTAACTCCTAATAAGAGAGAGCTACAATCTGCTGAGAGGTCTTCAGTGGGGAATGCCGGGGACCTGGACCAAGGAGCAGGAGGTGGGGGGAGAGCAGGGGAAGTTCTACCCAGAGGGCGAGGAAGGGGTCCAGGGCCTCTTATTTAGCCTCAGAAGCTGGCCTCAGCCAGAACATTCGTCACTTTCTTCACAGCATTTGCTGAGCCCTGTCTGTGGCTCAGTGTTGTGCAAAGGGCTAGGACCCAGGAATCGGTGAGATGCTGTCTCTCTGGGCTTCTCAGACCTC